TCGCTTTGTGTCTGACGGCGCTCACCGAAAACACTGGGACTCCCTGGGGAGAGCGAGCGCCTGGGGAGGGGGGGAAAACACCGCCGCCGCGTTCTCCTGCCTACATGGGAGCCCCAGAACGGCGTTGGGGCCAATTTGGGACCCGAACGCCATCTCCTCCGTCCCCAGGGACCGAAATTTGCGGCGTCAAACCCTCCTCTGCGTCTGGTCGGCACCGAAATGAATTTTGGCTGCGCCGCGGCTTGTCCCCCGTCACCTCTCCTCGTTTTTCCCCTCCGCAGGTTCTCTATATCCAGGCTTTTGTGTTGGTTTTTCTCCTGGGGAAATTTATGGGCAAAGTGTTTTTCGGGCAGCTGCGGGCAGCGGAGATGGAGGTGAGCGGCGGCGCGGAACGGTTTCGGTTCGGCGCTGGGGACGGGCAGAGCCGTTGTTGGCACCGGAGGCGCCGGGGGAGGGTTAAAACCCGCAGGGACGTGGGGTTTGGGGGGATTTTGAACCCCGAGTGTCCTTTAGTGGCGTTTTGGGGGGAGATTTTTGAGCTTTGTGAGGCTTTTGGTGCCATTTTTGGGGGAGTTTTGAATTTTTAGAGGCCTTGGGCATAATTTCTGGGAAGGATTTTGAATCCTGAGAAGCTTTTGGTGCCATTTTGGGGGGGGGATTTTGAACCCCAAAAGGCCTTTGGTCTAAATTTTGGGGGGGGAATTTGAACCCTGAAAGACTTTAGGTGCAAATTTAGGGGGAAATCGGAACCCTGACAGACCCTATCTAGGGGCAAATCGGAGCCCTGACAGTCCCTTGGTGCCATTTTTGGGGGAATTTTGAATCCTGAGAAACCTTTGGTGCCATTTTTGGGGGAATTTTGAATCCTGAGAGTCCTTTGGTGCTATTTTTGGGGGAATTTTGAACTCTGAGAAACCTTTGATGCCATTTTTGGGGGAATTTTGAATTCTGAGAGGCCTTGGGCACCATTTTTGGGCAGGATTTTGAACAACGAGAAGCCTTTGGTGCCGTTTTTAGGGGAGAATTGGAGCTCTGAGAGACCTGTGCTGCCGTTTTTGGGGGATTTTGAACCCCCAGACATCTTGGGCACCATTTTGGGTTCAAAAATGGGGGGAAGAGGCTAGGGGGAAGCTCCCTCACACCCCTCACCGCCTCTTCCTCTCCCCCAGCACCTCCTCGAGCGATCCTGGTACGCCGTGACGGAGACCTGCCTGGCCTTCACCGTCTTCAGGGACGACTTCAGCCCTCGCTTTGTCGCCCTCTTCACCCTCCTCCTCTTCCTCAAGTGCTTCCACTGGTTGGCTGAGGACCGGGTGGATTTTGTGAGTGCCAGGTGCTGAAAAAAAGGTGTAAAAAAAAAAATCTTTTTTTTAGGAAAACTTCAATTTTTTTCTTCATTTTTTTTTTGCAGATGGAAAGGAGCCCCAACATCTCCTGGCTCTTCCACTTCCGTATCGTTTGTGAGTATCTCGTTTTCCTCCACTCCGGGCCGGATCCTGCCCGGCCGTGGGCGTTTTGCTGTTTGGCTGGTTGCCGACAGCTGGTCAGGAAAGATAATTTTGGCGACGCGTTTGCGTACGACCGGGGGAAGAACCTGGTGCAGCTGAGCGTGCTCCTTAATGAAGGAGCATTAATGAGGCTGCGGAGGTAGCGGGTTGGGGTTGGTTTAACGAGCTCCGGTTTTGCCAAGTGGAGGCCGGGTCGACGGCAAAATATATTCCTGCTTCTGGAGAAGGGGATTTAGGGATGTAAAAATCATCTTTTGGAGAAATTGGGGAGGGTTTTGGTGAGGCGCGAGGACGCGACACGCGACTCGAAGCAGAGGGGGCTTCCAACGAGCCAGCCTCGTTACTGAGACGCGTTAATTTAGCCCTTCGTTAGCGCAGAGCCGCCTAGTCCCCTCTGTGAGTGATGCTCCTCGACGGTCCTACTTTAGTGGGATACATTTCAGGGTCAGACACTTGGAATTTATTTTTTTGGGAGTCTTCCTCTTTCTTAAGGCTCGTTATCTCCTTTCCTCGTTATCTTTCCTTTGCTGCAGCCCTGATGCTCCTTCTGGGAATCCTGGATTTCTTCTTCGTGACCCACGCGTACCACAGCATCCTCACGCGAGGAGCCTCTGTCCAGCTCGTCTTCGGCTTCGAGGTAGGAGATGGCTTCCCCATGGGGATGGACAAACCCCTGTGACCATCCCCAGGACGGACAAATGGCTCCTCGGGCGGGTCCTCACGCCCCACCGCGCTCTTCCTCCTCGCAGTATGCCATCCTCATGACCATGGTGCTCACCATCTTCATCAAGTACGTCCTGCACTCCATTGACCTGCAGAACGAGAACCCGTGGGACAGCAAAGCCGTCTACATGCTCTACACCGAGCTCTTCACAGGTACGTTGGCCTCTTTTCTCCTTTTTTTTTTTCAATTTTTTTCTCAATTAGCCACCGATGGAGGAGTGCGTGGGGTCTGGGTGGTGCTCAGCAGTGCCCGAAGGTCTGATCCAGCTGGAGGACATGGCAGAGTGTCCCTCGGCCGCTTTGCTGGTGACACCAAACCAGGAGGAGATGGCTGATGGTCATGCCACCATGCCCAGGGACCTTTTCCAGCCGAAATGGTTCAAGAAGAAGCTCGTGAGGTTCAACGAAGGGATGGGCCCAGTCCAACAACCCCCAGCACCAGTATAAGCTGGGCAATGGTTCAACTGGGGGTTCTGGTGGACACCAGCTTGAGAACAAACCACCGACCATGGCCAACAGGAGGGTTGACAGCAGGTTGAGGGAGGTGATTGGGGTCCAAGAGGAACTGGGACATATTGGAGAGCTTCCAGCAAGGGGCCACCAAGATGAAGGAGGGACTGGAGAGGCTGACAGAGCTGGGACTCGGAGAGATGGTGGCATCTCCATCCTTGGAGATACTCCAAAGCTGTTGGGTCACTGTCTTGGATAAGAAGCTCTTGGTGACCTTCTTGAGCAGGTGGTTGGACCAGATGACCTTGGAGGTCCCATCCCACCTCAACCACCCTGCAGTTGGCCAACAAAATGGGACCAGATGACCTTAGAGGTCCCACCAGATGATCTTGGACGTCCTCTTCCATCTCAGCCAACCTGTGGTTGACCAAGACCATGGACCAGACGACCCCGGAGATCCCACCAGATGGCCTTGGAGGTCCCATCCCACGTCACCCACCCTGCGGTCAGCCAAAAACAAGACCAGATGACTTTGGGGGTCCTATCCCACCTCAACCACCCTGTGGTTGGCCAAGAACATGGACCAAATGACCCGGAGGTCCCATCCCACCTCACCCAACCCGCAGCTGACCAACAAAATGGGACCAGATGCCCCCAGAGATCCCACCAGATGACCCGGAGGTCCCATCCCACCTCAACCAGCCTGTGGTTGGCCAACAAAATGGGACCAGCTGACCTGGAGGTCCCATCACACCTCACCCAACCCACAGTTGGCCAAAAACAAGACCAGATGACCTTGGAGGTCCCACCAGATGACCCGGAGGTCCCATCCCACCTCACCCAACCCACGGTTGTCCAAGAACAAGACCACGATGTGTTTTTTTTCTCCTCAGGCTTCATCAAAGTTCTCCTGTACATGGCCTTCATGACCATCATGATCAAGGTGCACACCTTCCCGCTCTTCGCCATCCGCCCCATGTACCTGGCCATGAGGTGAGTTGACGTTGGCGCGACCCACGGCCACCGGCACGCGGACGGCTCCATCCCGACCGCTCCCTATCTCCTTCCAGGCAGTTCAAGAAAGCGGTGACGGACGCCATCATGTCCCGCCGGGCCATCCGCAACATGAACACGCTGTGAGTGGTCACCCAACGCCCTTCCCACCCTTCTCCCGCGGCTTTCGGCTCCGTTGGCGTCTTCTCGGTGGTGGCTTTGGTGCTGAGATCCACCTAAAAATCCCCAAATTGGCGGAAAACGCCTCGTTTGCCACACGGGGAAGAGGTTGGAAGGACTCTGTGGCGTTCTGTTGGCGTCTCCTCGGTGGCTTTAGAAAAAAAAAACCCAAATTTGAGGAAAACTCCTCGTTTGCCACATGGGGAAGAGATTGGAAGGACCCTGTAGCGTGGCGGGGTCGTGGATATCTCCAAATTTTGCCAAATTCCTCAATTTCACCAAAAATTTGGTGGATAATGGCACGGAGGAAGGGTTGGAGGTGGTGGGGAGGACCTAGAAGTCCCACAACCTTCTTGTGTCCCCCTTGAATCTCCAGAAAATGTCGGGAAGGCTTTTTTTTTCCGTTTTTTTCCATCTAATACTCGTCCCGGCGCAGCTACCCCGACGCCACGCCGGAAGAGCTGCAGGCCATGGACAACGTCTGCATCATCTGCCGCGAGGAGATGGTGACGGGCGCCAAGCGTTTGCCGTGCAACCACATCTTCCACACCAGGTGGGCGAGAAAACGGCGCCACGTGCTCCCCGTCGCCTCATTTCCGCTGGTTTCGGCATTCGCGGTGGGCTGATGGTGAAATCACGGCGGTTGTGGTGGCACCGGGTGGTTTTTGGGGAAATTTTTGCCTCCGCTGTGATTTTTCCGTGCCGTTAATGGCGC